CCTGCGCGGAGATTAATCAGCTTCGCAATCGTCACCATCTCGACGGGATTTATCTGGGGCGCCGTCGCTCCAACACCTGGCGGGAAGGCGTCGGCGTACGTGATGGGGTACTGAGACTGGAGCCTCCCAGGCGTGATGGGGAGAGCCTGGATGCCATCCCTGGGCGGCGGCATCGTCGCCGCGAGATTCTTGAACGAGGATTTCACTGTGACCAAATATGACTGCAACAACTCCCTCGTGATCTCGCCCGTCTCCACGCCTGTGCGCTTGCGCGCCAGCAACAAGAATGCTGCCATATTGGCGGCCGTCGGGCAGCTCGGATGCCTCAAGCCAAGCGCCCCGAGGTGCTCTGAGAACGCCGCCATCGTGGCAGTGAAGCCCGAATGCGGCGAGAGCACGAACTCCCACCACTGAGGCGTCAGAAATTCAATGAGCCCCTCATAGTTCTTGCAGGCTGCCCGACGACAGAGCCTGCAATAAGTCTCCCAGCTCGGACTGCGCCCACCCCGCGCCGCCGCCCAAAGCAGCAAACTGCGCGCTCTGGAGCTGCGACCAGCGCTGGGACGTCGCCGCCTGGATGCAGGCAGGAAGGTGCTCCGTCGCACTGCCGCGCGCTACGAACGCCGCCCGCGCCTCCTCCAGGCGGCCTCGAAGGATGCCCTCCATGGCAGCGATGCGGCGCGACCGCGCGCCGAGCGGAGTGCGCGACTCCCCGCGCGCGCACGCCGCCCGAAGCCCTCGGAGGAGGGCTCGCCAAAAACGGCTCGAGCCAATGCGCGTGCGACGGACATATCCTACTCCTGATCTTCCTGCTCCTCCTCCTCCTCCTCCCCCTCCTCCTCCTCCTCCTCCTCCTCCTCCTCCTCCTCCCCCTCCTCCTCCTCCTCCTCCTCCTCCTCCTCCTCCTCTTCCTCCTCTCCCTCCTCTTCCTCCTCCTCCTGGGTGAGGGGGGGCGCAGGGGGGAGAGGGTGTCGAAGGGGGGATGGGGGAGGGGGTGCCGAAGGGTGCGCGGGGGGGAAGAAGAGAGCTATGGGGGAGGGTGAAGTGAAGGAGAGGCCAGGGAGGGGAGGGGGGAGGGGGGTGGGCGGCTTGCCGCCGAGGGGGTGGAGGGAGGCGGCAAAGCAAGCCGCCGATAGGGCGGGGGGGGGAAGGCGGTTTGCCGCCATTAGGAGGAGAAGGCGGTTTGCCGCCAGAGGAGGAGAAGGCGGTTTGCCGCCAGAAGGGGTAGGCGGTTTGCCGCCAGAGGAGGAGAAGGCGGTTTGCCGCCAGAAGGGGTAGGCGGTTTGCCGCCAGAGGAGGAGAAGGCGGTTTGCCGCCAGAAGGGCGGTTTGCCGCCACGGAGGGGGAGAAGGCGGATTGCCGCCATGGGGGGGGGAGAAGGCGGATTACCGCCGACGGAGGACGAGGCGACGGAGGAGAAGGCGGTGCGCCGCCGAAGGAAAGGGGGGATAAGGGAGGGCCGAAGACACATGGATAAACATTTTCCTCCTTCCCTCCCCCCTCCCCGCGGGCACGCGCGCAGCCCGCAGCGCCGCGGCCGCGAGGTGCAGCAAGTACCTGCGGCGCCTCGGTCCTGAACAACTGAACAACAACAACAACGGAAATTCAATGGATTTCAAAAAAGTTAAGAATAAAAAATACGCAAATGATTAGCAAAAACACGAATATGTTCAGCCCCATCGACTTAGCAGAGATATCTAACTTAGTATATTACTTACATCTACACTTGCAAACACCATAAGTATTGCATATGCACACATGAGATGCGCGATCAACAAGTGTACGTTCTATGGCTTAACTAAGATTATGTAAGATGAACGCTCTTACCGCACTTACAGCCACCCGACGATCAAAGCCCTGCTCTTGCTTCCCTGCCATGCCCCCCCGACGCAGAAGGTTAAACGGGGGGCGTCGCTGACGGGGATCGTCGCCGCCCCCCCAGCCACCGCTGCGCACGTCGCCGGGAGCTCTCCCGGGGCGCCCGGCCCCTGCGGCGCGGCCATCGCGCGCCGCCCCCTACGGGGGGGGCGGCGAACAGAGAACGTTGGCGCCATGCGATCCCGAAGGCGACCCGTGTGACCCTCACTCTCAGGCTGCAGCAGGCCCTCTGGCCGTATGGGGGGCCCCACCGTTTTCTGACATTGCGCCTGTTCGGTGCCCCCCCCCCCTCTCTCCGCAAACGGCCCAAATGCGCGGCCTCAGGAGCGCCGGGCGATAATCCTTCCCGCCAGACCGGGGCGCGCCCCCCGAGCCCCGAGGAGCGCGCAGGAAACCGATCGAGCTGGCGAGGCGGAGGGTGCAGGTGCCCTGGCGGCAGCCGCTGCGCGGAAGACGCTCGGACTTCCCGCGCTTGCATTGCGGGGGCCTGTTCATTCAGCGGCGCGCGTGGCGGTGCGAAGGGCGACGTGGGCGCCCCTGGAGCACTCAGTGGCGCGCCTCGTGACGGAGCTGGTTTGGGGCCCGCTTGCAGGGCTGGGAATTCTCCCCAGGAGGGCCCCCTCCTCGCCGCTGCGCCCCCTGCCGAGAGCTCCCCCTGATTCGCCCCCCTGTCGGAGGAGAAGATTTACGGGGGGGGGCTGATGGCCCCGTCGGCGGGGCGCAGGAGAAGCTGGCGGCGAAGGCCACCGGCGACTCCCCGGCCGCGAGCTCCCGGAGGAGGAGGAAACGAAGGGCAGAAGGGGCCGGCTGCAGGGGCCGCCAACTTCCCCCCAGCCACGGTTGCCTGCGTCGACACGAGGCAGAGTTGTCCCCGCGGCGGACAAACGAACCCTGTGCAAGGACCACCCCTGCCAGAGCTGCGCCGCCCTGGGCCCAGCGGTCTTCCTGGCCCCCTCCCTCCGGGGCCCTGCTGGGCCCGGGAGGGGCGCGCGCCTGCCCTCGGATTCTTGTTCGGTGACGCCTCGGCTAAGGTGCGCGGTGGCGCCGGGGTTGCCGGCGCGGGGAGAGGGCCCTCCTCGCCGCCGCGGAGGGGTTGTAGAACGGAAGGGCCCCGCCGCGGACGCCGCGAAGGTCCATCGTCGCCGCGGCTGGAAATCGCACTGGACCCTGGGTGTTCCCTGGGGTCGGAGGTCTGCGCCCCCCGCGTGTCCCCCTTCGCGCCCTCGAAGTCAAACCGCGTGGGTGGCCCCCCCTTTCTGGCTGCAGCGGGCCCCCCGTGCGCCGGGGCGCTTCCAAGGCGGAGCGCGCCCCTGGCTGCGAGGAAGGCTCCTTCGTAAACCGACGTTGCGCCTGTTCGGTGCCCCCCGCCCTCTTGCCTGGTTTTCAAGCCAGCGCGCGGTCCCCTCGCCCCGTCCCGCGCCTCGCTGGCGGGTCGCCCCCCCATCAGCGCGTGGCCGGTGGGCCGCCCCCCCTTCTGCGCAAGTGGGCCGCTCCCCCTCCCGCCAGCGGGCCGCCCCCCAGTCCGCGCAGTCGCGCAGGGCTCGAGTGGGCCGCCCCCCTCCGCCAAGCACCTCCTTCGGCGCTTCGCCGGCGGGCTGCCCCCCCGTCCGCGCTGGTGGGCCGCTCCTTTCCGCGCAGGTCGTCCGCTCCCTCTCCGCGCAGGTGGGCCGCCCCCTTCCGCGCGTGCGCTCCTAGCCTGTCCCTTCCGCGCCGCGGGTCTGCTTGTCTCGGCGCTCTCCGCCCTGGTCGCTGGGCCTTTGATTGCTTTTTCGGCCCCCCCCTGCCCGCGGTCTCCTTGGCATCTCTGCCGATGGGGCCTGCGCGCTCGCTGCTCCCCTAGCCTGGTTGGCTTGGTTTTCAAGCCGGCCCCTCGACCGTGCGCCGGCCTATTGGTGGGTTGGTTGCTGCCGCGCTGCCGCGGCGCCTTGCTGCCTCCCCCCCCCGCGCCTCGAAGGTCGCCGGATCTCGGCGCCCGCCCGCCCGCCCGCTGGCGCTTCCAGTCCCGCGCCGCTCCCTCTTTTGGCGTGGCTCTGCCTCCTCGTCTTTGTCAATCGCCTTCGCGCCGGCCTGCGCTTGACGCGCTCATTGCAGCGCGCTCGTGCTGGGAGGACAGACAGGCTGGCGGGCTCACCGCTGGGCATCCAGCGGTGCTGCAAGCTTTCCAGGAGGGGTCGCAAAGAACAGTGCGCAGGCCGGCTGCGATCGGGCCGAGCTCAGGGAGGCGCATCCAACACGCGCACCAGGCCGCCAGGAGGCCAATAGGAGGAGGAGGAGGAGGAGGAGGAGGAGGAGGAGGAGGAGGGAGGAGGAGGAGGAGGAGGAGGAGGAGGAGGAGGAGAAGGGCGGACTTGTTTGTCAATCCTGGCGGTTTTGCATCGAAGCTGCTGTAGAAGGTGTCGGGCCCCAAGGCTTTCGACCAGAAGGTTTTCCAAACGACTTTCTACATCCTGTGTGAATCTTCGGGCCCCAAGGCCATCAAACCAAGATCTGGGACGAAAAGTTGCCGGGGTGAATGGGTCGAGACTTCCTGGGGCTCGAAAACTGAAAAAAAGCAATCAGTCCGAGTTCTGGAAATGGCGCAAGACGAATAGGAGGCCTCCGCCACTCCACCTGGCCTATGGCCGTCCAACGGCCACCCTCACTTGCAGATTGAGCGGATGACCAGAGGAGGAGGAGGGGGAGGAGGAGGAGGAGGATGAGGCCTCCGCCAGATCCCTCGCGCAGTCGAAGCGATCGAGTCGAAATCCACCTCTGGAAGGGAGCCCCCCCGTTGGGGAGGCGTTGTCGAGCCGAGCCACGCCGTGAGCGGGCACCAGCACGCATCGCCAGATTGATCGGATCCTGGGCAAACATATTACTCGCCATCGCTCGGACGTCCGCTCCCCTTGCATCTTTCGGTTTCGTGCATTTTCGGGGCTTGGCATGGTGATCCAAGATGCTCCCCGATGGTCCTGGCCGAGAAAAGTGCTCAGGTCGGAGCGACGCCACGATCTCCGAGTCGATCATCGGGTCGTCGGCAGACCGGTCCGATCGGCACGCATCACCGCATCATAGATCAATCGTCGACTCGATCGATCCGATCGGTCGGCGCGTGTACCCTCCTCCTCTTCCCTCTTTCCCTCTGGATGCTTGCAGTGCGCGTCGCGGACGGATGGGGGCGAGCAGCTGCGGCCTCCGACGTCACCTCTGAGCCTAGCCCTCGTAGCCCTCGTCATCATCGCTGGACTTCTCGCTGGGCTCGACCTTCTTGTTGTACACCTGGTTCTCGTGCACCTGGTCGACGACGGCGGCCACATTCCTCCGAACGTTGTCCATGGCCTGCGTGATGTCCACTAGGTGCTCGAATAGCCCAGCCGTGGACTCGATGATGAGAGTGAGCGAGGCGCGGAACTCGTTCCGGACCTCGCTGACCGAATTGCTCATGTTCTCGGTGATGTGTGTGATCTGGGGGATGTGCGGTACCTGTTCCTCCTCGTTGCTGGTGAACGGAACCTTCTCGAGCTCGTCGACCTTTCCGAAGACAGTGCGCTGGAGCAACTTTGCCGGGGTCGCGTCCTCTCCGCGAGGGCCGAGGGATGGGATGGATGGAAGGAAAGGGGAACTGAGGGGCCGAGGAAAGACGGGAAGGAGGAAGAGGGACATCCTTCACCAGCCCATCCCTCGCCCCCTCTCTGTCTCACTTGCTCCCGCTTTAGCCGTCTTGCATACCCACCTCTTTCCCAGACTAGCTACTGTGACCCTCCGTTTCCCCGCCACTTTCCCCAAGCCGTGCGTACACTCCCCCACCGCTCCCCTGTCTTGCACGTCCCGCTCGCCCGAATCACCTCTATTTCGCCCTGGTTTTCACTATCCAACCCTCTCCCCCTGACCGTCTTGATACCCTCCGCTCTCGTTTCCTCTCCTGGAGGTGAACCGAGGAGGTGGAGGAGATGGGAAGGAAAACGGGGAGAGGAAGACAAGGAGGAGGAGGAGGAGGAGGAGGAAGAGGGCGGAGGAGGGCGGAGGAGGAGGAGGAGGAGGAGGAGGAGGAGGGAGGAGGAGGAGGAGGAGGAGAGAAGAGGAGGAGGAGGAGGCGGAGGAGGGGAGGAGGAGGAGGAGGAGGAGGAGGAGGCGGAGGAGGAGGAGGAGGAGGAGGAGGAGGAGGAGGAGGAGGAGGAGGAGGAGGAGGAGGGATGAGTAGGCATAATCCGCGGCAGGCAAGATACGCCGCGCGAGATACCTGGGGATCTCTGGAAGCCGATGAATTCGGGAGGACGTGCGGGGCGACGCCGACGTCCCAGTGGCGCTCAAGAATGAGCTCTGGGAATGCCCCGACAGACTTCTCCGTCTGCCTGCTGCTGCCTGACCCCTTTCATCCCTCCCGCACCCAGAGCCGTCGTGCCCTTCCACTCGAGCCAACCGTCCTCCTCCCCTCTTCCCTCTACGATGAAGACGGCGCGCTCATAGACGCGGAATGGCCGATGCTCACTTTTACAAGGAGAAGCTGAGCTGCTCGGGGACGGCGCGCCCAAAGCTCGCGACGATACCAACTAGGAAGATGCTGAGATGAGACATATTAAGACGCCCTCGTCCTCCACGGGGAGAAGAAAGATCAGGATGACAGGAAGAGAAAAACGAAAAGAGAAGAGGAATCAGGAAGGAGGACCCCTCCTCTTCCCTCGCTGCCCCTGCCCCCACCCTGGTTCCCTGCCTGCTGTTGCCCATCCACCCCCTCGCGCTGGCCTGGGGATCCAGGCACGCCATCCTCCTCCTCCTCCTCCTCCTCCTCCTCCTCCTCCTCCTCCTTCCCCCTCCTCCTCCTCCCTCTCCCTCCGCGTCTGCCTCCTCCTTCCTCCTCCTCCTCCTCCTTCTCCTCCTCCTCCTCCTCCTCCTCCTCCATCCTCGTCACCCTCCCTTTCCTCCTCCTTCCTCCACTGCAAGCCATTTCGCGCTCGTGCCACATTCGCCAGAGTCGTCCCAGTGCCTCCACGCGGCGCTTGAGGGGTGTCACTGCAGCTGTAGGTCACTCTACCGCCCTCAATGCTGACGAACACTGGGACTCCTGTCGATTCGCCCATGGACCGCTGCGAAGGCTGCGGCACATGCGAATACAACGACAAGCTGGACGCCCAAGACCCGGCCTGCCCCAAGTGCAGCCGTCGGGTCAATGTCCACCGCTCCCGATCTCAGCCTCCAGGAGGCCGCCGCAGCACCGACGTCATCAAGCTGGAAGGCTCCGGCGGTGCCACGAACCCCAGGCGTTCGAGCTGCACCAGGAAGCCCCCCGTGACAAGACTCTCTCCAGCAAGCGGTGGCCGAGGCGATCGGCCCGCAGCTGCGGAGCATCCTCCAGGCCCAGATCACGAGGATCTCAGCCCAGCAGGGGGACGCATCTCTCCCTCCTCCTCCTCCTCCGCCTCCCTCCTCCTCCTCCTCCTCCTCCTCCTCTTCCTCCTGCTTCTCCTCCTCCTCCTCCTCTTCTCCTCCTCTTCTCCTCCTCTTCTCCTCCTCCTCCTCACAACAACAACAACAACATATCGCGCCCACGAGCAGGCTTGGAACCCAACGTACAAGTTATCGTCCAAGGCGCTGCTTCGTGACGGCCCGCCTGGGCCTGCTCGTCGTCGTCGTCGTCGTCGTCGTCGTCGTCAGCGTCGTCGTCGGGATTGCATGGTCGACGTCTCCAAACTCTACTCCAGCCGCAACATGTAAAGCGATCCTGTTGTGTAGCGACACCCTGGACTCAATTCGAACAAATTAGGGGGGTAAAGCGAGAGGGCTCCAGCAGGGTTCGCTCCATAGCCCCGCCTTGGGCTAACGTCTCCTCTTGCGGACCCGCGACCGTGGCCTCTCCTGAGGAGCAACGGTAGGGGGGGGGCTGACTCAGGGGGGCAACATCGAGCTGGAATCGGCGATACATCGCCGATATATCGGCGATAGGCCCTCGGGCGGGGTGGGCCATCGGGCCCTTATCGGTCATCAGTAGGCGAATGCGTGCCGATGCATCTCCCTCTTAGCCTGCCCCCGCTAAACTTGCACCGATCGTTGCCAGCTTCTCGGGTCATCTCTCAAGTCTCCAGCGGCCGTTTGGGACAATCTGGGCCCCCAGGAACGCTCTCGGCGAGGCGCAGCCGCTGGAACGCATCCCGAGGCTGGACAACCGCCGAGGACCGACCAAACCTGGCGAAACCCTCGCACACTGGAAGCCTCGAACCTCGGACCCCGCCCTGATCCGTCACCCCCGAGCGTATTCCCCTCTGACGTTGCCCCTGATTCTCGACCCGCTGGAACCTCGAACCTCGAAGGTTGCCGCTGATCTCGAGCCGCGAAAGCCTCGAACCTCGAGCCTATCTGCCCTGATCCGAACGATTCCCCCTCTGATTCTGCAGGACCGGGTTGGAAACGCTTTGATCCACACGAGCTATAGATTGATGCGTCTCCGCGATCTGAGTTCACAGCCACTCTGCAGATCGACGCATATTGAATGCCAACGCGCGACAAGAATACGCCGTGTGACCAACGAACCATCTAGACCAGGTTTCGTGGCCCATGCCAACATTAGGGGCCCTCACGCTGCCCCTGCCTCTCCCGAGGGCCCCAGCGCTCCTCTCCGCCAGGCTGCATCTCCCCTTTGAAGCGCCTGATGATCTCAACCTCTCCGCGCGCGTGCGCGCGAACACTGGCACCCCTCCGTTGGCCTCGCGGCCTCGCCGCCGCCGCAATCACCGGGCCTCGAGTCGCGAACTCATCGGGTCGGAAACGGACCAGATCGCCACCGACTCGTCCCGGATCGGCTCGCCCATGTCCAGCTGGCCCTTGCATCGCGGCTTCTCCGCCACCGTCGTCGCCGCCGTCCTCCCCCCCAGGCTTCCAACGTGTTCCCAAAATCAGCACCGAGGTTGTTCGTCGTTTTCGGGCGAAGCTGACAACATCGAGCCATCGAAGGGAGGAGGGGGAGGAGGAGGAGGATGAGGAGGACCACTGTAAACCCAAAAGCCATCAACGATGTTGGAATACAACTCCCCTCCAAGCTTCCTCTTCATAAGCCCCTTCAGCGGTTCATTTCTGTTAAAATATCTGCCTCGTTCGAAATTATCCGTTTGAACACCCGGAAGCATGCCAAAACATTGTTCTCGGGATTCCAACGCCGCGGATCAACCTGATTGTTGCGTTTTGACGATCGTGGATCATGCCGGAACGCCATTCCTGGGATTTCAACGCCGCGAATCAACGTAACTGTTGCGCCCGCAAACTCCTGAATCCTTTCAAAACAGTTTTTTTGGCACAAGGTCGTGGGAATCCGTGAAACTCTTGCAAACTATAGGAACGAATGCACGCGGCGCAAAGGCGAGAGCCACATCTTGAAAAAAAAAAACCGCCCACAATCAGTGAAACTCTTGTGCGTTTTTAGGACGAAGGTGCGCAGCGCAAAAGCGAGAACCACATTGCGAAAATGTCAATCCACGAACCTCTTGCATACTCTCAAACGAATTTACGCGGCGCGGATGAAGAGGGAGCTTGGAAGGAGGGTGTATTCCAACACCGCTGATGCCTCTTGGGTTGACACAGGTCCTCCTCCTCCTCCGCCTCTTCCTTCTCCTCCTCCTCCTCCTCCTCTGCGCGGCGGCGGGACCTCCCGGAGTCCGATGGGAGGCCCGCCGCCTCTGCGCGCCGCGCGGCGATCGGCGGCGACGATGGGGCGAATAGCCCAGGGGCGGGCATCACGCGCATTCGCCCGGGAGCCTTTTCGAAGACAAGATCAGCGGCGCACCTGAATACAAGTATTGCTCTCCCCTGGGCTATTCGCTCTTTTCGTTGCCTCTGAGGTGAGCGCAGCCGCGCCCGCGCCCGCCGCGCCCGCGGCCGCGCCGACGCCCCCGCGGGGGGGGGGGGGGGCGGGGGGGGGCAGGGGGAGGAGGGAGAAAAGGGAGACGAGTTGTTGTGGTCGTAGTGAGTGGTCGTAGTGATGTGGCCGAGGCGTCCTGCTGGTGGTGGTGGTGGTTGCGGTCGTTGTGCGCGGTGAGTTGGCCCAGGGGCGTGGGCCACCAGACCCCTGCGTTCGGCGCGCCACCTCCCGGACCACGCAGGTGGCGATGGACTGGTGGAGCGTGCTGAGTGCCTCCTGGCGCCCAGGCCCCCTCTGGCACTTGCTGCGCAAACCACTTTCGCGTGGACTCGCCCGTGCCTCCAAAAGATACGAACTCCAACCTCTGCCGCATGCTGCCCACTTCCCGGGCCTGGCGACGGAGGAGCACCCGGAGGACGAGCAGGACGTTGCGGTGGACTTTCAGGCTGCGGCCGGGGTTCGGCCTTCAGCGGCCCCCCGGGAGCGGGGCCTCGAGACCACGAAGGCGATCCTCAGACCCCCGACGTAATGTTTTTTTCATTACGTCGCCCTCCAGAGGTCCCGACCCTTTCCCCATGACCGGCTTTGCATCCTGAGTCGTTTTTGGACGCTCCCGAGGCCCGGTGAGGGCCCCCAGAGGCCGAAAATTAGGAAAAGCCTCCCGTCGTGATTTTTTCATGACTCGAGGGGGTCTGGGGACCACGACGGCGATCTTGGGCAGGTTGGAGGACCAGATGAACTTGCGCATTCCGGAGGGGGCCGTGCTGGACCTCGTGGTAGGGCCCAGGGGAGGGGCGGGCAGGGGCACCGCTGCCCTATAACCCATCCCCCAAAGGGGCACCTGCCGGCGAGGCCGCGGGAAGGACTCCCGATGCCCCAACCTGGAGACGAAGCCAGACATCGGGCGTCTCGAAAAAATCGAGACGGAGGTTTTTCTAAGTTTTCGGCTTCTCGGGGCCCTCGCCGGGCCTCGGGACCGTGAAAAAACGACTCGGGATGAAGAACCGGTCCCGGGGAAGTGGTCGGGAGGTCGGGGGCCCGCGTCTCGAAAAAATCGAGACGTCGGATGTCTGGGAAGCCAGGACGAGAGAAAATTTGGACGAGGATGACTCGAGATTCTCTGAGATCCAGCGTCTCTGGAGGATGTCTCGGGCGCCGCGGCCATCTCACAGCGTTGCATTCCGGAGCGCTCTGGAACGGATTTACCCTCGTCCTAGCTCCGCCCGACAACCATCGAATACGATCAGCTCGATGGTCAAGGAGATTGCGCCAGGCGAGTGCGATGGCGGCGCAGGAGACGGAGGAGACCCGGACGCCGATCTTGAGGACGACACCGAGGAGTGCGTCTTCGATTTCGACCTCGCGTTCGAGGTCGGCAGTACCCTGACAACGATCGGAGGAAATCTGATCAGCCTCCACGGTGGGCTCGCATCGGTTGAGGCTTCGGTCGAGGGATCTGACCAGTGAGTGCATCAACTGGAAGATGAAACAACTTGACGGAAATAGCCATTGGTGGAAAGTGTGGCTGCCGAGTGGCTGACGTCCTGTCGGGCGTGGCATGGACGTGAGGGGGAACGAACTGCGGCAGAAACTCGTTTCCATCGATGCTCAGCTCCAGTCCGCATGGGCGTTGATCAAGGCAAGGGGCCGAGAGGCGAATGGCACGCAGCAGCAGTCCGAGACACTGCAAGAGAAAGTGGACGAACTGGAACGGCAACCCCGAGACCTGCAGGACCGTGGACCCAAGGCTTCTCCGCCAGAGCGCACAGTCGAGGCGTTGACCTAAGGAACCCTAAATAAGGAACGAGGCCCCTGTTTCCATAAGTTAAACTTCGGTTTCCTATCGAAACCCGAAGCAAAACCAACGGCGAACTGCGAAACACTTAAGGAACGCGGAGCCCCTCCCCAACCAAAAGGGTTCCTTCTTCAGGGCCCCGACTGTACCGACGCTCTGACGCAGCGGATCGGCGCGCCAGAGACGCAGCTCCGCACCATGACCAGGAAACTCTTCCGTTGGCGGCCAGGCAGGGGTCGGTCGTCTGCGCTGGCAAGGTGCGCTGAAGAGGGGCGCCGTTGAAGCGAGATAGCCACCATGCAGGAGAGGGAACATGAAACACGACCAAGAAGCACGAGGGGCAATGTCTGTGCTGCCCAGCCGGCACCATGAACATCCAAGGTGGGGAGTGCCGGGCGGACCAGGAAGAGGCGCTGCTCCGAGACGCAGGGCCTCGTGCAGAGGCTCCTTGCAGACGGTGCTGCTCGCGAGGCCGTGCGACGAGGGGATCTCGGCTGCCAGCGAGGTTTCTCTGGACGGGAGTTGTTGTTTTTTTGGAGCTCGGAGCTCGGACTTGACTACCCATGATCCGGTCGCCGTGAAATTTCCCCCCCAGCTCGCCTCCCTCCGCGCTCTCACCTCCAGGAACCTTCCCCCCCTTCCCAAGACCCGTCCCCCTGGGGCCCTCCCTGAGCCTCCGTCCCAGTGGGATTTTTTGTTCAAGCTGGCCTCCCGAGCCCTGTCTCAGGGGGGCGTAAGACCCGCTTACAGGGGACTCGGAAATCCCCGACGAGGTCGTCAAAAAAATGACGAAGCCGAGCCTGCATGTTGACGAGGCCTCCCGCTGCAGACATCCCACGAAACTCCTACTCGTCAACATCCGAATCGCGGTCGTCAAAAAACGATGGCGAACCCGAGTCCTGGCAAACCCGGGTCTTACGCTCCCCCGACTGTCTGTGGCCGAGAATGGAAACTCGGAGCTAGGGAGCCCTGCCACACCGTCGCCGGGGAAGGCCTTCCCCA